CCATGTTGGACTTTTCACTTTAGAAAGTTCCTGCGAGAGTCATCAGGACTCCTTACGATTCCTGCTGGAGTTTTTCATAAACTTGGGACTCCCGTTGGAGTTTTGCCGGGAGTCTCGACTAGGGTACTCCATTACAAGGGCAACCATCTTAATTCCTACCACAAGTACAACAATAAAGGATTGATTTCTACCGATTCATAAACATTCTCAAAAACAGTTCTATGTAAAAGTATATCAGGAGATGGTTGTATTCAATATACAGAAAGAACTGCACAATCTGGCAATGAATCAATCATTTAGTGTTTTTCTCGAAATGACGCATGCCTGACTAGACGCATAAGTAAGACAAATGATGGTAACAAACTTTTTTCTTTTCCTTATAACCACAACAGAACAGAGAAGAAAAAAAGCTTTTTGGATTATTCGCATTTATATTACCCACACTGCCGTATAAAAATTTTTTCACAAAATAAGATAACTTTATTACCTCGTTTTTTCTTCCTTTTCTCCGTTGATCGAAGAATCTATATGTACTAGTAATATATATCATCAATACTACAAGCTTTGATCACGAGAAAAGTTAACGTGCCAGGAGGGATATTTGAAACAGTAGACTACATTAACTAATTCCTACAAGTAAGCAGTTTATGTATTTTTCATGTTAAATGACATTATTTAATACGATTTCTATATTGAATTTAACCATTTGATGTGATACTTTTAAATAGGACTGCTTTTGAGAGTGTTTATGAATCGGTAAGAGTTAACCGATGATCAACGTTTCTCGGCTAGCCAGCAGGATAAATATACCATTCAATAGAGAATTTCACCAGCTTCAAAATGAGCTATAAATAAGTCTTTCAGAAATATGCCCACATGGGTCAATAGTTGAAATACTTGTTCGATATAATGATTTTCACCTATTTTAGTGCTTTCAACACTCCGTTAGTCGTTTTTCTGCCATAATGAAAATTATGTATTGTTCGAAAACATACCACTGGATAACCCTTGAAATTCTCTGCATATCAGCCTTTGATGAGAAAAGTTGATAATAGAGCTCCTAGAAAACGTGACCGCTGAAAAACCAAGTCCTTAGTTTTTAGTGAGAAAATTTGGCAAACCACATAGCCTCATAGAGTGAAAACTTCTGAGGAAAATAAGACTTCTCCCGGCATTTTATAGTGCTTTTTCACGCAACTGCAGTCGATTTACCACTAGCCACAAGGGCGTGAAAATTACCAAAATATTCCGGTGAAAAAGCATTACAGAATGCCGGGAGAAGTCTCATTTTCGTCGGAAGTTTTCGCTCTATGAGGCTATGTGGTTTGCAAAATTTTCTCACTAAAAACTAAAGACTCGGTTTTTCAACGGTCAGGTTTTCCAGAAGCTCTATTATCAACTTTTCTCATGAAAGGTCGATATGCACCTAATCTGATAGAAAAATCTTCGGGCTATTCAAAACATTATACAGATTGGTTCCAGCCTTTACTAAAAGGTCAAAAACAAGAGAGCTCTTGTGATTATGACACACTCTACTGCGTAGATAACACGCAAAAGCTTCTTTTCCATATCTTTAATGACTGGCCACACCTGTCTGGATATTGTGACTAGCTCACTTTGTAGAGAATTTCAAGGATTATCCAGTGGTATGTTTTCGAACAATACATAATTTTCATTATGACAGAAAAAAGACTAACGGAGTCCTCACCGTGGACTAGACCACCCACTTTTGACGGCTTTGCAGAAAGTATTTCTAATGTCAAGGTATCCTGGGACACTTTCGGGGGGAAAGTGGGACAAATTTCGGTTCAAGCTAGTCAAAAACCTTATTTGAGCATTCTGTAAGTATATGCCACGCTAAGTGAATTCGCAGATAAACTCTGTACACTGAAAACCTATAGTACTTAGTGCTATCTGACCAAGTGTTTTTTAGCCGTCCGACGAGTCTTCGTTCCTGCGGAGAAAATACAAAGGTCCCGAGGAGAGTTAAGATAGCGATTGACGAAGGCAATTGAATCTGCTGCACATGGATTTTGAAAAGGGCAACATAGAGAAGCAGGCGCTCGATCGATTTGGCCTTCTTGGTTCATTATACAACGTTAGAACAGACCAACTTCTATCCGGTACCATCTTCAATACTCATGAATTGCCTCAAGGTGTCGTGCGAACAGATGATTGCCCCAGGACTTTCTACAAATTCGATCATGCAAATACGTACTCATCCACATTGAGCAATTGGAACGTAGATGCGAATATGAAATTGAACATACTCACAGGCATGGTCAACTTGGATGGAAAAGCCAAGTATCTTGATACCGTCAACAAAAGTGAAGAAGTGGATCGAACTACTCTCGTATTAAAGCTTAAAACAAAATGTGACACTCTTCTGATTTCGCATGCTGGCATTCTTTCTCTCATCAATCCAGCTGCATTTAAACATCCGGATACAACACATGTCGTTACACAAATATATTGGGGCGCAAATGTCTCGGCTACTTTCGATCAACAAACAACTACATCCACAGAGAAGAATACAGCTTCCGGAAGTGGATCGGCGACTACACCGAAGATAAAAGAACTTGTGAGTGATCTTTCGTGCAGTAGTGATTTTCAACGACTCAAAGAGGAAGAATCAAAGGGAAAAACGATAAAAATTGAATTTCAAGGCGATGTGGAAATGAACATTATGCCGTCTTCGATGGACGATGCATTAGCAATGATCAAAAATATTCCTCTTAAGATAGCAGAAAAGAATGGAGGCAAAGGTGTTCAAATTTCCTATATATTGACTCCGCTTAGCGAAGTCATTCATTACTTGCCATCCATTGAACCTCAAGTGTCGCCAACGGATAACGTGTTCGCTCGCAAGATGGACGACGACTTTGTTCGTCACATTCAAATTATCTTTGATCAACTACTACTTGATACTCGCCGCATGAACGCATTCATCGAACTTGCTAATAACAAGTATAAAAATTACTTATCAGCTCAAGATGCGACCCTTCTTCAGGATCAACAAGTAAGATGTACGATATTTTAAGTCTAATCAGAATGGAAACACAGTTGAAAGCAAAATGAATTTTTTCGCCATTGTTTTTCCTTTCATAAGGCTTTTCTCCTTTGCTGTAACGCTGGTTTTGAAGATTCTTGTTTATTCGTCAAAAGGTAATTTATTTGGATTTTTTATTTAGAATTGATCGTTTGCATGTTGATTTTCTCAGTGGAAGATGAATCAGTCAGAAAACTAAGGGATCGGATCCCACGCTTGCAGATTTGTTCCTTATTCTTTTGCGATATAGAACAAAAGAGCCTTTCTCGTTTAATGTTTTAGTCAAAACGTTTTGTGGTACTTTGCTGGAATAAAATGGAATAGTCAGTTTTTGTTCGAGACTTTCTTTCAGAGACTTTCTTGTTAGACAGGTTACCCACATGCAAAATATCTCGGTTAAAAGCAGTCGTCTTGAATTTTGACAGAGGTTATAGTTCTCCCTCATCTCTTGAAAGGCTCCTGGTTTTCTCCTAGAGGCAACAACATGAGTCAATGAAACATAGGGTATCTAGACCAGTTTTTGACGCTGATTCCGAATCTCGCGCCAAAAGTCTTGGTAAACACTGGTGGGATCTCTAAAGGGTCTCCGCAAAACTCTCTCCAAGACCCCCTGGGGTTTTGAACTAATTATCTATACCATGGTGATCATTTTTTTCGTTACCTATTTGACATGTCTTTACCGAATTCCAAGCCTCAAATCTGGGAAGGGAAAACAATAAAAGTTGTTATGAGAAACACATTCCTGTGCTCCACTAAATCGGTCACATGGAGGCCTAAAATTCGCTAAAGACATGTCCAAATAGGTAATAAACTATGGTGATCACGATGCTTTAGTTGGTTTGTTCAAAACCCCAGAGTATCTTGCGTAAGTTTTCTGCAGACCCTCTGGAGAAATTTTTCCAGCAGCCCTAGTAATTTTCTGTTCAGACAGAAATGTGCAGCGGCTGGAGCTCTACATTTCTAACTTATTTTCAATAGATTTCAAAAGCTGGCATATTTGCCTATAAATCCGACGGTGTCCTTTCAAGTAAATTGGGGGGGGGGCCCTTAACGTCTAAGGTTAGCTCAAAGCAGTTTAGATGATAATCATCCGAACTATTCTTCCTATCTCTTACCGATCTAGTTTCGTGCACTATAGACCCAGCCGCGTTAGAGATCTTTTCGTACCCAGAAATCTAATACACTTAAAATCTTTTTTACTAGACACAGGTGTCATCAGAAGACCTCAAGTTTAAACGAGAACTTCGAGAACTTGTCCAAACTTTACGCACAAGCAAAGTATCTGAGGATGTCAAGAAAGCAGAAAAGGCAATTGAAGAACGGCTCAGCGAACGATTGAAACGCAGCCGAGACGACGTCGAGAAACTGAAGAAAATGTGTGACATGATAAAACAGATGTCGGAACGTAAGTTTGAAAATCTTCTCTTAACTTTATGTCAAGAACAAATAATGGGCTCCTGTTGTGTGTCTGAACGATCTTACTTACTCTTTAATTAAAACGTTTTACATACAAGCGGCGGCTTATAGATTCTGATAGGACACTGTTTTCCTTTTTGGCGCTCCTCCTCTTTCAATAATTCAGCTCGAGTAGAACTTTTTTCCAGATGCTACCGATCTTTTTTTAATGAAGATTTTTGTTCGTTCTCACAAACTCACGCACCAATGACTAATATAGACTTTCTTAAAAACAATTTCTTATGTACGAATTTCAAAAAATCGAGCATGTAATGTCCTCTGGATCAGCATTAACTCCATGAAATTGTATCTACTCTGTATCAACTCTCTCTGATAAGCAGTTCTTCACAATCCTCGGAAAGCAAGGAGTGCCTTACGCCCCCTTGTGGACGCGCTGCAGAACGGCGTTTCAGAGAAATTTTACCTTAAAATTCACACGGTTGAAAGAACTCGACGAATTGGTGAAATTTTGTCCCGAAGCGAAATTAGAAATGCACCCTATGTCGGAAGGGTAGTGCCGAAAGCTGATGATTATCAGGTCGAGCGGAAGTATCCTGTGTTTAGTGAACGAGAAAACCTGTCTTTTTTTTGGGATAGTAACGTGGATGATCAGACGTGTGTATATCTGAACTCGTATTCAGGGTCAGACGGCCTGTGCACAGTGGACATCCAGATTACGGGGACATGAACGCGCTATTGACTGGCTATCTTCAAATGTCTCTGCGGTTTTTAAGGATTCTGGAGGGTTTTCTGAAAAACCCGGTCTTTTGGGAAACCCTGTTTCTGAGTGTTCACTCAAACGAGTCTTACTCGGCTGTATACAACTCATCGAGCTCTTTCGTCTGAGACCAAAACGAAGGAATGCGTCTGTGTAGATTTTTAGCCGCGATTTTTGCAAGTTCGGCATTTTTGCTGGGAAAGGCAGGAAAAAGCGACTCTTTCGGATAACACGGGGTTGTAGTTTGATATACCTTCGATAGAGCTGAAGATGCCCTATCGATTGACACCAATCGCACATTTTTAGGACGCATCGTTCGGGATATATAAGCATGCCTCAGAAGCAGATGAAAATGAAAAAATAATTTTAGAATATTCGGAATGACTCGAAACAGAGGTAATCGGATATCTTAAAAAAAATTTCGAAAAAGTCATTTTTCGCGCTATATCACTGGAAAATGGCGAAACTGGAAAGAACTCATCGAGCTCTTTCATCTGAGACCAAAACGAAGAAATTCCTCCGTGCATATTTTTAGCCGCGGTTTTTGCAAGTTGGGCATTTTTGCTGGGAAAGGAAGGAAAAAGCGACTATTTCATAGAAAGTATTCGCTCATAACTTTTTTCCTACATCGTTAGAGAGCTGCGATTTTCACCATTGGAAGCAGCGTCCAAAACTGCATCGAGCAAGGTATGTTTCGTTTCCTGCGCCAACGATCAACGTAACGGTGGGAGGTGCCATAATGATCTACCCAAACATCGCGTTCTAAGCAGAATACTTGCTATCGAGTGCATGTCTTTAAATTCGTTTCGAATTTTCTGGAAAACCCGGTTTTTCAAAGACTCTGTTCTTGAGTAACTGCCTAAAGGTTCATTGCTGGGCTATGGAGTACGCGTCGAGCTCTTTTATTTGAGACCAAAATGAGGACATTCGTCCGTGTAGTTTTTTAGCTATGATTTTTGCAAGTTGGCCATTTTTTCTGAAAACTGCGACCTTTTCTCCAAAAGTATTTCGCTCATAACTTCTCTTCCAACTTAGGTAGGGAGGTGCGGTTTTCACTATTCGAATCAGCATCCAAGCTGCGTTAGTGAAGATAAATCTTTATAAAACCGATGGTCACTTTTAGACTAGTAGATATCCTATGGGTTCATGCGTATGTCAAACAAAAAATCTCAAACCAAAGTCAATCTTGAGATTCGGAAGACGGCGATAATCGTAAAAAACGCGGAACGTTGTCAGATATTCTGTTTAGTGTGCAAATTCTTTGGTAATTAATTAGCAAATCCGATACACTGTGTACTATAAAATGAAAAAAAATTTTCGAACAGCTATGTTTTTAGCTATAGATTCATCGATAGACAAGATTGAAAACTTTGGAACTCTGACTGTCTTCCGTAAATGGTATTGAAACATCAGGATAAGATTATCCACATAGTTTTTTTTGAGCTGCGAATTGTTTGATGTCAATCTGAGGTTAGGGTTCTGCTTGCGTTCAAGTTTGTATCCCTTAAGAGACGTTGCATGAGAGCACCGAGCATAATACCATACGGCCGGTCGAATGGTACCACTTTCGATCGGAAAACAAGATTCAGAATGGTTTTTCACACGGTCTCCAGGGGTTTCCCAAAGATCTCTCGAAATCTCGAGCACCTATTTCGACATGTATCTACCGGAGTCGTAACCTTCTTAGAGCATGAAAAACAAATAATTCCGCTTTGAACAAAAACCGTTTTCATGCGAAGCCAAACCTTTTTTTTCGTTGTCCCGATCCATTACGACTCCGGTAGATACATGTCGAAATAGGTAATAAAATGTGCTGATCACAATGGCATAACTAGTTTGCTCGAGATCTTAAGAGATCTTTGTTCGATTTATTTTGTACCGTTCAAATACCCTGTTCGATGCAAAATCAAAGCACTATCGAATGAGATGTTGCACGACGGCCGGACAAGTATACAAAGAGTTATGATCATTATACTGTGCAGGTCACTGTTTTCTTCTCCTCCGAAGGTGCTTTTCGTAAATAAGTCGATCAGTTTGCGTTCTAAAATCGTGAAAAAAGTTCCAGAACCACAACTTCGTAAGGGCTATCGAATGATGTAATAAAAAGCGGAGGTCAATTTTTTTCATGTGCTGGCCATTCTCGATGCTCTGATGCAATATCTCTTAAAATCCGGACTGGTTAAAAATCTTTAACAGATGAATTTCGTTCACAGATCCCAATAAATGCACTCTTTTCCTTTCAGCAAGCGGACAAGGTGAATTGGTTGTCGATGAGAGATTCAAGGAAGTGTATGGAAGCTACATTCATATGTTGGAGAATGGTCGAGCGTGTGAGAAAACTCAGTACTATGGCGGAAATATATTGCTGTTGGATGGCGGATGTGGATATGCTTTCGGAAGCCGTGTGTACTCTCAAGGTGTCCATCGTATACGAATGCGAGTGGAAGAAGTTTGGGCACAATTGAGTATTCTTTCTGAGAAACACACCCCAAATTACGCTGTCTACCGGAATACTTATTCGGCATATGGGTGGATTGTTAATAACAATTATATTGTTATGAACGGATACCTTCAAATAAACAAATGGACAAACTATAAGAAGGGCGATGTGTTCGAGATGACACTCAATTGTGACGAGAAGGCAATTTCGATCAAGAATGAACGTACGAATGAACATAGCGAAATCAAACCTGTTCTCGACTGTCCTTTTCCATGGCGTCTCTACGTCTGCTTTGCTGCGCACACTGGTAAAGTAACACTGCTTTGAGGAAAGTATTGAATTTCACTACTTTTTCACCTGTAACTTCCTATCTCTCTC